AGTAATTCATTTTTGTAGATGATGCTTTTATTCCAACCTCAATGCTATTATTTTTAAAGTCATTATCGTGACAAAGTTCTCCTTTCAATATCTTGTAACAAAAGGTGACGGGGGCAAACATAATTATAGAATATATTATAGTGATTATTATGGTGCATTTAAGGTATTTTGGTGCAAAATTTTTTAGATATTCTCTATGCTCAACCAAGGAGTAGCTATACCAGCACATCAATACCGATAGAGAAAAACTGATATTTATGAGCGTCTGTATCAAAGGTTGGTAATAATTAGATTTGTAGTTATTCCACCTGAATCCCAACCATATCTGCTTACGGAGAGAGGAATGGTTTCCGTTTTTCCAATAAAAATCTAAGAAAGGATCTGAGGTAAGGACCACCATTATACACAGATTAAAACCAAAATAAACAACATACAAAATATTAATCCCTAACGTATCAGAATAATTAGATGATAAATTATCTATCGGTGATGAAGAATGAGTGGTGTGCAAGAAGCAAAAAAGAATATTGAACAAAGTACGTCTAAATCGATTTATTATTGAATGATTAATACTAGTGTTTGGATCGAAAGGTACCACTGTTTTCTGCATCATCTTGCAAATCCTTTAATTGTTAAGATATACAAAATTTTTTATGGTTTAGTTTTATTAATAAGAAAATTACAACTGTTGAGCAAGATAACCATATTTTTTAGAAACAACCTGAGGTACAATTATAAGATTCAAATAAATTATGCGAGATTTTTGAGGACAACCTTATTAAATATACCAGAATTCTATTCGAAGAAAATATATTAAATACAATATCTTATAGTTATATAATATATTAACAACATTGTCTCATGATGAATTTGACATTAAATATCAACCTAAAAATTTTTAATTTTTCTCATCATTAATCTTAACTAAAAAATATATTCTAGGCTCCTAGAAAGGGACTGCTAGATGTTCTTTATAAAATAGTAAATTTGATGAAATTGATTCCATTTAACAGTAAATATTCTGGGTATAATTAAACCAGAAATTTTATTTTCTTTTTAGCCTTAACCTATTCTGGTGGTATGCTCCTTGAATATCTCTCTCCACTTTATATTATTCATGCTATCTCTTTTATCTATTTTATACTTCTTCATATTGGTTCTAACTTTCTGGCCCTATTGAAGTTTTATCCTTCCTCTTTACGTTTGCCCATCACTTCCAAACTTTCAATCTTATTTCCTATATAGTTCATAGGCCATCTCATTATTTGCTCTCACCACCTAAGTCTGCCATCATTATCTTAGTCTTAATAGACACTACCTTTAAACTTTCTAGTATTCTTGTACTTCGCACCTTATCATCATCCTTAGCATTCTCATCTCCATAGTTTGAAGGCTTATCTCATCTGATTCTTTGGTTAGCCATGTTTCCGAACTATATAGAATAGTTGGTTATACTATGGAACTGTAAATTTTCTCTTCAATTTGTGTGGAATTCTTTTGTCAAAGGCAATCCAGATAAAGATCTCCACTTTAACCACCCTTGATTAATTTTACTCTTTATCTCTTTCTCTATTGTGCCATTTGTGTTTAGTGGAGTGCAAATATTTGCAGCTTTTATTTGCCGATATCTTCTATTCATTTGTATTAATGCTCTCTGTTTCACTTCTTCCTATTACCATATACTCCTTCTTTTCCCTGTTTACCTTTAGTCTGTGCTTTTCTAGGATATTTATCCAACTCAGTCTTCCATTTCATCCTTGAATTCGTTACGTATCACAATATCATCTGCAAATTTCATATTCCACTGGACTGTTTGATGTACAGACTGTGATATTACATATCTTGCTGTTATGAAGAGAATGGGCTAAGAACCGACTCTTGATGAACTCCCTCGGCTATTATGAAGCCTTTTGAAGTACCAGTTGTGTTGTATGGCATATCTTGTATTATTTTTATATATTTTTGGGGAATCTTTTTGTGGCGTAGCGCCCACCAGATAAATTTTCTTAAGATTCTATCAAATGCCTTTTCTAGATCGAGAAAGACCTTGTAAAGCTTTTTGTTCTTTTCCCTGTATTTTTCGCTCATTTGCCTAATTGCGTGGATTGCATGAGTCGTTGATCTTCCAGGCATTAAACTAATCTGAGTCTATTTCGACTATGTCTCTTAAACTTTTTTATATGATATTTTTGTATAGTTTAAGACAATGTGACGTAAGTTTTTTGCCCCTGTGTAATTTTGACAATTGTGTGAATCCCCTTTATTTTTGAAGATAGGAACTAGATAGCTCTGGCTAGCGGGAGAGTAAGAACAGTTTGCATCTTAATATCTAAAAGGGGGTAGGTAGTATAAGTTGGGTGGTAGTGTAAAATTATTTAGAATATTATCTATTACATTTTTTAATTTATATATGGATAAAATTTGCTATAATAATTTATAATACAATTATAGACATATTATAATAATAATAGATTGCTAATAATCAACCAATACAATCTTAATATATTGTACTCCATTATTTTTGAATTTATTTATATTTGTCGACATATATCCTCTCACGTGAAATTTGAAATTTGATGTAAAAAAGCGGTTTCATCCGGTGGAAAATTTGAAGTGATAGATGTGTATTGTATGAGTTGTATCAGGCAAATATTTTTTATTTTAATCATATTTATTTACAGATTCTATGAACATTATATCTCAATATTGATAGTAATCATAACTTCCACCTTTAAGGTAATGTAATTAAATTAAATTATATTGTAGTTCTCGGTTATAGGCTCTTTTTTTGCCCCACTCCTGTTTAATAGCAATATTTTTCAGAATGTTGTGCATACAATTACGTGCGGCTTGCCCACAACCGTTAGGAGGGCTCCTCCAGTGGCGTAGCTATGAATTTTCCTTAGAGGGGGTCCATACATATAAAAGCTGGAGGCTTCGCCCCCCAGACCCCCTTTAACGGGCCTCCGACCCTTTTGCCTGCCCTTCGACCGGGTTTATCTTACAAATCATAACCATATCTTCGATAATATATAATAAATAAATTTTTTAAATGCCTCAATATGTTATTATAATTTAATAGATTATTCTCAATGACTAATAATACTATCCAAAATAATTTCAATAGTAATATAATATCCTTCTACAAACATCAAAACCAAAAATTAATTGATATAAAATCACTTTTAAGTCTTTTGAACGTATAATCTAAAAAAAATTTGAGGGGTCCAAACCCAAAAACCACCCCCATAGCTATGCCACTGGGCTCCTCATATTTTTACTTTTATACCCAAATTAAATTGTTCCAATTAGATGGAAATGAGGAAAACCTAGCGTAGCTCTGTTGAACATTTAACGTTAAAGGGCAAAAGCGCTATATATCACGTATCATGTAAATTTGTCATATTATAAATGTGTACAATATTAAAATATTTTGTAACCATATAATATATATTTTTTTAAATTAAGATCTTTATACCAATAATTATTCTTTATAATTCCCTATTTTCGAAATATTACTATTTATATAAATGTTGATTCAAATATATTATAAAAAACATGTGGCAATCGTTTATAAAAAATACTATATTTAAAGAATTATAGGTAATTATAAAATAACATCGCCGCTGAAGGCGCCGGGATTTTTTAGGGGGGTCAGGCACGTACGCAGGAATTTGCTGTGGGGGGGGACAATTAAAATTTTTTTAAATAAATTTTTGTTATTTAAAATTCTGAAGCATAAATTTATTAGGACTAATAACTATTTCTAATACACAATTTTAAATTAATGTGAATTATAAAAATTAAATATATAAACCGGCATATGAAAAACTTTAAAACATATAAACCGGTATATAAAAAAAATATAAAAACCGGTAAAAAAAACTTTAAAATATATAAATCGGCATATAAAAAACTTTAAAATATATAAACCGGCATAAAATATTAAACGGATATAACCGGCGGCATATGAATAACTATAAAATAAATGATCCAAAATAGAAATATTTTGAGTCTTTAAAATTTATATATAAAGTATAAAAAATTTAAATGTTGTAAATATAAATTTACATAAGTTTATTAGGTAAAATTGTATTTTGTGAATGAACTATTTATAATTCATAGGACAGCACTTAGCAACTGCTCCCAACCTTTTTTGGACCCCAACAAAATGTTATAGATGCTTTGCATCAATTCAAACATATTTTAGATTATTTTCCTAATATATTAAAATTATAAAATTGCACAAAAAATTTTAAAAGCATATAATATATTTATAAGGTAAAATCCAATCTTCGTTGGGATAGAGCTAATTTTTCAATTATCTCATCCGTGCTTGGCGTCAAATGCCTATGAATATTCAATAGGGCCAAACCATTCAATCTACTTTCAGAAGTTGTACTTCTTAGGTAGGTTTTTATTCTTCTCAAAGAAGAGAAGGTTCTCTCATTAGTTGCAGTACTAATGGGAATAGTTGCTAATATATATAATAATTTTAATATATTAGGAAAATAATCTAAAATATGTTTGAATTGATGCAAAGCATCCATAGCATTTTTTGGGACTATATCAACCATGGTTAATCTTTTATACCATAGTTGGCATTCAGCCAATAAGGCATCATAAGATACTTTAATATCTTCATGATAAAAATTTGCCAAATATTTTATTTTATTTCTATCACCATCTGAAAAAGGTTGGGAGGGTTTTTGTGGTAATAATATCTGCAGATTGCTAAGTGCTACCCTATGAATTAAAAACCGTTCGTTTATTTGTGTTATAAATGTATCTAAAAGAGGGATAAAGAGATTTATTTTATAATATTCTTCGACTGACCCGATATTAATGTTTGGACGATGAGTTTGCCTTGCTGCAAGTCGAGGGAGACAAATATTAAACTCATATTGTTGTGCTTTTGACTCAACAATAACATATAAAATATGAAATTCGTCATCAACATTAGCTCTAATTTCATTGAGTTCTATTAAAATACTCTTTGCTATTCTCATCATCTCAATCAAGTCAATATCGAGTTTTTGAAAAGTATTGCATAAAATTGTAGTATAATTAAATAATTTATTAATACATTGTAATGAGAAAAAAAAATTTGGTATAAGTATGGAATCTAATAATTTGCTAGCCTCTGTAGAAATATCTCTCTCAGACCATTGTGATATTTCGGTAAGAGCGTTAATAATTGGTTCTTCTAACTCCATAAAAGATGTCACAGCTTGATGGCGAAGGCTCCATCTTGTTGGACAAGCTTTTTGCAATTTTTTCCTCCTTGTTGGACAAGGAGTTTCAGAAATAATTCTGTTCAAAATATTTTGTCTCTTGGGATATCTAAACATTTCATAGATGCTAGATATTTTGCCTGATATAAATATAAGAAATTTAATTGAAATAAATAAAATTATACCTAAGCAATTTGATATCAATGGCAAAGAACATGCATTAGATATTGCCAGGTTGAGGGAATGAGCAGCACAATGGACATATATAGCTGTTGGGCATTTTTTTTTATAAATGCTTGAAGCCCATTGAATTGCCCACTTATTGCACGAGCTCCATCATACCCTTGCCCACGTATCAAATTTATATTAAGCTATATTTTTGAAAAAAATAATTTTATAATGTGATTAATTATTACTTTGAATTTTTCAAGATTGTCAAATATTACATCAGCTAAGGCAGACCCAGTCATGCTTGAAACTGGGATAAATTGTAGAAACATCTCTTTTATAATGTTATTTTGAGTATCTATATATCGTGCACAAAGTGACATCTGCTCAATGCCAGCAATGTCTGTGGTCTCATCTGCCAAAATTGAGTAGCATGGGGCAGAATTGATTTCAGTAATCAATTTTTCTAGAATGATATTATTGCAAACATCAATTATTTCATTTTGGATCCTAGGGCTAAGATATGTAGCATTTTTATTACTACTATTAATGCTCTCCATTAATGCAAAATCTCCTAATGCTTTAAATTTTATAAGGCCACGAAAATTCCCTTCGTTATCATTATTGAAATTCAGGCTTCCTGAATCAAAATGGCCACGTAAAGCTAATTCCTGCAACCCACAATATAGAATAGCTTCAATAGTTAGTCTTATCTTGCATCTATTTTCTTTTGCAATTGTAAGCCTACTTTTATCAATATGTGATGTAATGGGATTCATATCCCCACTTTGAATTGATTCTTTTGAGGAAATCATCAGTTCACAACTTTTGTGATAATTTGTTTTTTGATGATTATCAAAAATTTCTCCAGCATCTTTGTATCTGTTAAATGGAGTCTTAACAAGAGTGTTAAGCTTAACCAAATTTCTTCCAGCATATCTTGGACCAAACAGGACACATATATTACAATAAGCTCCATTGTCACGGATAGAGTATGCTAGCCATAACCATCTAGTAAAATAGCTGTTTTGAAATTTTAGCTTTCGATTAGCACATACAGTTTGTGGATATTGAAAATTGAGGGGTGGAATATAAATCTATTATTAAATTAAATAAATTATTTATCATAGATATCTTATATTTATTACTTTTTTAAAAAGTAAATGTCTTTCTTCTAAGCTAATATTATCTTTATCCAAAAAATTGGCTATATCATATGGATGATCATTGTACTCTAGAGTTTTGTATAAGGATTTTATATGAGTATAATATTGAGATTAAAATTATTTTAAAAAAGCCAAAATATTTATTTAGAATAACCTTTTGATGGCTTTGGCTCTATATCCTGACTCTCAATTATTCTTCCAATTCCAACAATTATTTCATTATTTATGGGAGGGGTTTTAATTACTAAAAAAAGAAAATAATAAAAATATGTTAAATTATTCATACCTTTTTGCTTTTTTATAAGATGACTTTGACTAGAATCTTTATCATCATTCGTGTTTTTAAAAAAATTTCTTATGTCCATAATTGTTATTTGACTAGAAAAAAATGGTAGATAAATTTGCCGTTAAAAATTTGAAAATAGTAGATAAATATTACCAAGGAAAACTTGAAATTGAAATTAATTGATAAAATAACTTAGTAAATGATTGTGATAAATAAATGTAATTAAATATATATTTGAATGAAAGATATATGAATAAAGATTATAAAAATAATATTAATATATAGAAAATAATATTTTTGAAAAATATATCCGGCATCTGCATTTTTTGGCTTTGGGGGGGGGGGATTTGTCTCCCTGTCCCCACCGCTGCGTACGCGCCTGAGGGGGGTAGATATATATTTTTTAGGGGGGTTTGCATCCTGTGAATATCCTGTCATGTAGACGTTGGCTCTGGCTCCATTTTTGAGGAATCTCTTTATTTCCCAGTATTTTATTGTACAGATTTGTGAGGATAGTATTCCATCATCTCCTAGTGATTTAAGGCTTTCTATTAGAATATCATCAGAACCCCTAGCTCTGTTATTTTCTAATGCTTGAAGCATGTGATTATTTCTTGCTCCGTTAATAATTATATGAGGTTTAAACATGGGGAGTGGAGTGTTCATCTAGATATAGTATGTGGGGATTAAAGTTAAGAAGCTCCTGTAAATATTCTTTCCATCTATTCATTATTTCTTTGTCTTTTATTATCTCCCATCTTTATTTTTGATTACTTTGGCTAATCTTACCGTATTTTATTTTGCCCCTCTTAGTTCTTCGTATATGACATCGTATGACACTGCTTTAGCCCTAGCCACCGCCTTTGTATTTTTCTCTTGGATTTTTTGTATTTTATCTTATCATCTATTTTTAGGATTTGTACCATATTTTATATATGAGTTTTTTTCTCCTGTATAGTGGTTTGTAGCTCTTCATTCCACCACCATAGTTCTTTGTATGATTTATTGATTCCCCTTGTCAAGCCTAGTGTCGATCTGGCAGTGTCTATTAATCTGGATGAAAGGTCTGTCCTATTGTTTAAAAGTTTGCATTGATTGCAAAGGCATCTGCCTATGATTTTTTTGATGCATGGTTCAGTTTTATTTTGTTTGAGTGGATTTATTTGTGATGTGTAAATCCATCACTAGTAACTTGTGTTGTTCGGCAATATTTTATCCTAGGATGACTATGCAGTCTATTACATCTTTTAATCTTCTGCGAGAGATCAGCATGCAATCTATCTGGGTTTTCCTTATACCACTTTGATATGTTATTAAATGACTGTCTTTTTCCTATAGTAGGTGTTGATTAAGGCAAGGTCGAAAGCTTCTGCAAATTTCAGTACATGCTCTCCTTCATCATTTCTTTCTCCATATCCAAAACCACCAAGATGCCTTTTGTAGCTGTCTCTTGCTTTTCCCACATGCGCATTTAAGTCACCACCTATTATGACTAGATCCTTAGGGGTCCATTACAGCTTCATCAAGGATAGCTCTAGAGTCATCTTTCTCCCCTTCGTTGCAACCCGTTTAAGGAGCATATACTGAAAGGATGTGTAGTATTGATTGACCAATGCATAGTTTTATTTTCATTAGTCTATCAAAGTCTCTTGTTAACTTCTATTTAAAGAGGTTAGATCTTGACTGAGGATGAAGTCGACACCGTTCTACTAACAATTCTATTATTATACCCATCTCCAATTATTAGAGTCTTCTGACCTTTCCATTTCATCTCTTGTATGCATGTTATATCAACTTTTCTCTTGTTCAACAATGATGCCAATTTTCTGGTCTTACCTTTAAGTGCACCAATATTCAAGCTTGCTAACCTTGTTTCCTTGATATTTATTTTACCTTTCACAGGATGGAAGTCAACACCCTGCGTGTCGCTTGGAGGGAACGCCCTAGTTTTTATATTGTTTGCACCCTTCATTTGTTTATAGGACTAGTAACCCGGTTGTCCAAACCTGTCGGTAACCGGGGTGTCATCTCTAAGCTCAGTAATTTATCTTATCATATGTCTTTACACATCAATCATGGAAGAAAAACCTGAAAATTGTCACGGTTCCCTACCAGGATTGAATCTGGGTCTTCTGTTTACAAGCATACATTATTACCCACTAGACCACCCCTGTTATTAAGCCAGAAACATTTTATTAATAAAATATATTTTATAATATGGGCCAAAAATCGGATTTTAAAAATGGAAGTCACCATATGATTCAATTTTCTTCTTTAAAATAGAAATAACAGTGGGAGGGAATGGGGTTATCCGAAAGGCGGGACAAAAAAGTCAAACGTATATAGCCTTCTCATCTTTAGGGCTAATTGTTTAAAATTTGGTCAAAAGATGTATTTCTTATACATATCAACATATGCGCATTTAGTAACGGGAGCCTCCATATTCAAGAAATATTTATCAAAAATAATTTTCTGCTCGCAACTTTTATTTAGATTGCCATGAGAAAGAAAAAAAAGAAATACTTCTTCCTATATTAATAAATTTATATGTCATATTACCTAATGCATGGCATGGATTAACTTTTGATCAAAAGTTTTAACTTATCTCGAATGGGTACTATAGCTATTTAAGCTAACTCACTCCTAGTGTTGTTAAACGGCTAACTCAATATTTTAGCCAGAAAAATGTTGCCTAAGTCCCCAAGATTTCGATAATATATGTCTAGATCTTTGTTCCTTCTATGAGAAAAATCTTCAGGCTTGCGTAATATTCTTCTGGATGAAATATTGAGTCAGCTTTTTTAAAAATCGGCTCATAACGAGCTATTTAACAATACTACTCACTCCCCGGAGCTAAATGTCCGAGAATAAAATTGGATATAGAAGAGCATCAAATTGCAGCGGAATAAAATTATAAAAATCTAAAAAACGATAAAAAAATAAAAAAAACATTTAAAAAAAAAGGAATGAAATTATGTTGTGGAAAAAACAAAGAAGCAAGAAATAAATCGTTTAAAATGTCCCGAATGGGAACAGTGGTAACATTGATATATTTTATGAGTACCAATAATTGTGAAATAATCTTTTTTTTTAAAAAATAATGATATATAATAATTTGTTAAATAAAATGTATTTAATTATTAACAATAAAAAATGAAATATATTTTATTTTGCGTGTTAAAGGGCTCCTAGGGTTATCTATAATTTAATATGAAGCAACACCTTTTACCTAAGCCTATATAGCGCTCTCAATGATACAATTAGCTTTATCCTATAAAAATTAAAATTCCATCGTAAAAGACCAAAACACCAGCTGTATATATCCCAGATCTTCTCCTAATCCATAATTTTGAAAATACTTAAGCTTTTATTTTTCTAAGATAAAAGGAAGGTAAGAAGATTGCTTTTCTTTTTTTCTTAAGAAAACATGTAAGGTTCCAGACTACAGACATATTCCCTTCTTTATCAATATCCTGAAAAAAAGTGGGGTAAATATTAGCCCCACGTGATTGAGGCAGCATATAAAAAGCAAAGGGAGATAGATCAATAAACTAAACCAAGAAACAAACTATTTATTAGAAAAAAAAGGTCGAAAGTGCCAAAAAATCTCCCGTTTTGAATATAGAAAAACATCTAAATAATTTTGGGATAGGCAAACCCTACATCCTAAAAGACTAATTCAAACCAAATTAATTGATAATACAAATGCCAATATTTCTCAGAAATTGGCTGATAAAGTTATTGATGATTTTTATAATTGATACAGTTCAGCCAATGTCCTTGGTCGATAATCCATCATTCCTGGTACAACAATTTTATGTCGCCAGACTTTAATGAATAAGATAGAACTTTAAAAGTGATGAAAGATGCTCTAAACGCTAATAATTTTTTCTGAAATATAAGATTGTATAATAGAAAATCCACTGAG